AATAATTTATTTAAATTATAGCATATTCGAGGCTTTGATTTACTTTTATTTAATAGCCTCGTTTGTGCTTTATGCTGCAGGATAGCTTTGCTGTTGTTGTTGCAGTTGCTGTTGTTGTTGTTGCTGCCGATTCTGTGTGTGTTGCAAATGCGCACAGTTTTCGCATTTTCGTTTTCGTTTTCATTTGATTTGTTGCACGTTTTTGTGTTCTTTGCCTCGCGTTTCGTCAACCAAATTCGCTGCCGCTGCTGTTGTTGTTGTTGTTGTTGCTGCTGCTGCTGCTGCTGCTGCTGTTGTCGATGCCGATTTCGATTGCAAGCAGCCGATTACACACACACACACACACACTCACACAGATGCAGACTGTGTGGCGGCTAAAAGCTTGCGCTTGCAGCATTGCGCAATTCGCACAGCCGTTGCAGCAACAGTTGCTGCGGCTGTTGCTGCCGCTGCCTTTGCATTGTTTTTATTTTCATTATTTTCTGTTGTTGTTGTTGTTGTTTCTTTCGTTTTACTATTTATGCTTACAATCGTTTGTTGCATTTTCATTTACCAATATGTTTTATGTCTTTATAAGCATTTCAAAATGTTTCGTTTTACACTCATTTTGCTGTTGCAAGCATTGCAATTGCCACAGCGCCAACAGCAGTAATTGCAACTGCAGCAACAACTGCAACGGCAACTGCAACCGCATATGCATGCATTTATTAGTCATAAGCGATGAGCACCGCCAGCAGCAGCAGCAGCAGCGCCGGCAGCAGCAGCGGCAGCGGCAGCGGCAGCTAGTCACCCACTCAAAGTCTACCCACAGACACACACACACACACACACATGCAGAGTGTTGTCTGTGTGGACATCAATTGGACATGTGTTTCTGCCGTCCAAGACTGTAGCTAAAGCTGCTCAGCTGCTTTTTGCAATCGCTAGCATTTTTTTTTTGTAAATATTTTTTTTATTATTATTACATTTTTTTTTTTGTCACTTTTGCAGCGTTTTATTAACAATCAGCGTATTTTATTTGTTTCTTTCGGTAGTTTCATGCGCCAGCTGAGGGTACTGCGACTTTGTCATGAAATATATACAGACACACAGACTTATGTGTGTGTGTGTGTGTGTAATGGAAACCTTGTTAGACAAGATTTTTATGGGTCGCTGGGATTTTGTGCTCTATATATGTATATGGTGGCATCATAGACCCTTTGGGTTTCATGAATAGACTTCGAATAGACTTCGATTCTCTTTTGAAGTTCAGATTGATCAGACTTTATCAATAATTTTATCAATGAAGCAAAATTTATATGAGAGATGAAGAACATAAGTCTAAATGGTTCAGTTCAACTGGTTCGCTTGGTGCAACTAAGAATATAAGCTCAGTAGAGTTAGAATCTCAGTTGCAGCTAAGACAGATTATGCTTATAAACAATCATTCAATAGAAGAAATTTATTTATTTATAAAAAAATTTTCAGAAATTAAATATTATGCATATGCAAAATGGTTCAATTCATGAACAAAATATTTGATATCAATTGAGGTATATTAATCGAAAGTTTAAATATCATATGTGAAATGAACATTGAACAAAATTGTGTAGTTGAACTTGTTCAGCTCGTGAACTAAAATTCATTTTATAGTCAGCTAAAGCTTGGATTAATTCCACTCGATTCATCAATCCTTTAACGAAATAATAATTTTATATGTGATTTTTATATTATTTGAAATTTATAATTAAGCAAATATTAAGAGATAAAGAAAAGCAAAACTAAATGGTTCAGTTGAGATGGTTCGGTTCATGGACCCATTGCTTAAAATCAATTGAAATGGAATCTCAGTCGACGGCTTTTGGGATGTGATTCTTTATATGCAATAATGCTTCAGTTCAGCTAGTTCATGAACCAAAGCCGTGGAAATGTTTTATTGTCTACCAATATGTATTATATGCATGTCTGTTAGGGTATCCACAATTCGCTTTGTGTAGCCGCTTGGGTTTGCCTGTGCTTTATGCGATTACACGAGTGCTTAGCGGAGCAATCGTTGTCCAGTTCCAGTTGGGTTCCAGGCGCTAAGCTAATGATTCATATGAAACAAAAACAGAAAAGAGAAGATATGGCTAGAAAATATGAAGAGAAAGAGAGAGAGAGAAGGAGAGAGAGAGAACGACAAAGGAAGTAAAAGAGGAAGAGGGAGAGCGAGAGAGACCTAACACAGCATACAATAGAGATTAGAGAGACAGAGAGACTCTGTGTGTGTGTGTGTGTGTGTGTGTGTGAGGGAGCGTTGCACACATAATTTGATGACAATCGCATTTTGGCTATGTGACTTTTTACAGTTTATTTGCGCTTAATAAAATCGTAAGCCCTTGTTAAATAATCACGCTGACATGTCGTCAAGACGTGCAATAATGGCAAATGTTTTCAATTCTGAAATGTAACCACCTAAACGTTAACAACAACTGCTGTGGAAGGTTATTAGATGYCGTCCAATCCGCGCTGAGCTTGACTAACAGAGCTTAGCCAATCCAAAAAGGTTGCATATAGGGGGCGACAAAAAATAAAATAAAATACAAACTACAAATAAAAGGAAATATGTATTTACTATAGCATTAGAGTTCGAGCTCTGACTAAGTGCATAAGTAGTAAGCTACTTAATATTACAACTGTTATATACGCAAAATAGCTTACTTTTAAGCTTACACAAAATGCCTTTTAACTGTTATATTAGCTCATATAACATATTCCTCAACAATTGTTAGGAAACTCAACTTTAAAATGTTATAATATGCTTCAAACTGTTATATATGCCAACTGAACTGCCAACATCCAGTTTTTATAACATATCTTTTATTTATGTATATATACACATATGTATCTAACGCCTATAAAACATCTCTCAACTGTTATATTCGCTAAGGTACTAGCCTTATGCTAACTCTAACAGATCTCTGTTAATAGCTCAACTTAAAGTCAGTATACCAATGGCAAAATGTATTATAAAAGCTTGAATGCTCTAGTCCATATAGCGAATATAACAATTTAGACAAATGAAAAATGTGTAAATATGTAGACATATGAGAAATATGTAAATTGTTATATTCGATATATAGATTATAACAGGTATATGAACTAAATAGACTTTGCTTTAAATTACATATAACAGTTGTGAGATAGTGTAATATTTACTAAGAAGAAAACATTAGTTTCTATCAGTGACAGTTAGCTATGCATATAAAAGAGTTAACATATTCTGTTATATTTGTATTGTACATATGTATGTAATTAATATTGCAATATGTAATTAATAATTGCCATATACCAAGTTGTTCAGCTGTTATAATTGCCAAAGAGCTAATTGAAGACCTATTACACAACTGTTATATGTATTTGCTAAAACAAAAACTAACTTTCAAATTCATATATGCAGCATATGCGACAACTGTTATACGCGCTCAAGAAAATGGCTAATCATTTGCTCATTGCTCTGATTTCTGTTATATTTCGTCATCTGACTCGAGCTACTCTGTGTTGCTGTTGCTGTTGTTGACTCTGATCAATCATACGACATGTTGACAGCTGTGCATGTATTATGACAGCCACACGACACAGCTGGCAATGCAATTAGCTCACTCTTGGCCTCTTCCGCTTCTCATATATTTGTTTATTTAAAGCTTGAATAGGCGATGGTGTCCCTTTAAGGTATTATTATTATTATTATTATTATTATTTGTTTATCTGCCACAGTTGGCAGACAGAGTTCGGCTTCATGTTTTTATTGAATATATATGTTGTATATTGGATAGAGACAGCATTGCACTGGCTGAGCGCTGTCTCGTGCTTTATTGGCTTCATCGTGAGGCGCATTTTTATCTCGCTCTGATTTCCATGAAATTTGTATGGGTTTTTTCGGCATTTGCAACGATAACAACGTTATCAGTGCAGCAGTGGCCAAAAATGGAGCACAAATCAAAATGTAGTTGAATTGCAACTCTGTCCGCACGGACATTCACTTGTTCATTTGTCTGCCTACCGATTTGACGGCAACAATGCAAAAAGATTGCCAAAAAAAAAAAAAAAAACGGACAAAAAAGAGACAATGAAAATTCGAGGCAAATAAACATCAGCTAGCTGCATACACTATGCAATAAGAGTTAACAGTCTGTTGACAGCAGATCTTCTGATAACAGAAATTTGCAAAATGTTTGGCAATCAGGCTGTTTCTTAACAGACATAAATTCGATGTATAAGATGGCCTTATGTTAACATATGTATAAGAGCTGCTGAAGATATGTATAATAACAGAGCTTGATATTTCTTAGCAGAGTTGGAGCTGCAACTTAACAGAGTTGAAAAATATTCTAAGATTATCTAATCAAGTTAACATATTTATTACCTTAACAGTGAGTGCATTTTTATAAGAGCTTGCTTGCTCTTAACATTACACTGCAATTGAACAGATTTCATGGGACTTTTGACTTTTCCCTTAACTTAACAGACGTTTTAACAGACACACGAAATTATTTTGTATTTGTATTGCTCGAACTTGTTAAGCAGCAGACAATATTTAAATGGTAAATAATATGCAAATTTTTTGTATATTAAATATCAAAAATTTGATTCAAATTCAAAACTTAATACAAGAGAAGCAAAAATATAAACATGTGTATAAGAAACACCTTTAACAGTCTACTTAACAGAAAAATGTTGCATAACATACTCCTAGCTGATATGCCCCAAATTGAAAGACTTTGGTATGCATGTGTTGTATGCGGCGAGCTTTAAAAACGAATGAATGAAAGAATGGAGTATGAACCGTAAATGAAAATATGTGCAGCATTAATTTCAACGTTGCTGCACAATCAGAGCGCACAAAACTCCGCTCAATGGGGGGTGGCTGGGGTGG